GGAGGCAGAAAAACAAATTGCTATTTACTATATCAAAATGTTGGATTTGTGATTAAAGGAAGTCACCCTAAGAAAAAGACTACTACTTCTAAATTCCTCCTAGTCCTTGCTTTCAACCATTGGCTAGCTTTAGGATTTAAGAAAGCCACATACACTGAGTTTCAGGCCCCAACTTAAATATAAAAAAGGAGATTACTGTATTAGTGGAACCTAAGACAAATTTTTTTTTAAGTTTTAATCATTCTCAGTAAACTTAGAAAAGTAAATGACAATGTATCGAGTTTTTCAGTAAAGCTAAATTTATTAAATTTAGAGGACTTTTTTATTCAGTAACTTGGTGCCTCCTACTTTTTTTATTTCAATTTCCTTTATGATATGATGGTGATAGCTGATAACAGTTGGGTTTTATTATGCTCTTAGAAAAATAAAAAGTTGACACTTCTTTGTCCATCCTCCAAACTTTTTAATACACTTTATCAGTCAATGAAATCCAAAAATTTAGGAAACACTAAGGTAAATTTTAAGGGCAGTTATTTTTTGAGTCCAATGGAAGGTTTAAATCTCCCTGTAATTTAATAAGCAACCACATTTACATACAGATAGCTATCTATTTCCCCAGAGGGATAACAATGAATAGGAACTTCAGAAATCATTAGGAAATGATTAAGAATATGTGTTCATAGGCCTGTGAATGCTTCAAATGGAACACGCAATTAATTTATTCACCAAGTACTTACTGTGTACCTACTATGAAAGTAATGTGAAACACTAAGATGATAAAAACTTGCTATGGTCTCATTTAAACTCTGGATAGCAGAATCAAGGGTTTGTCAGTGGGCAAGAAAAGCCAGGCTAGAAATTATCAGCACTTGAGAACAGAAAGAGACAGACAAGCATCCAGTGAACAGAAATGCAAGCAGTTAAGCAGAATTACCAAGATGAGCTGGCCAAAAAATCAAAAACTAGCCACGGGGTCTAGGTCTTAGGAGCAAAAGTCCTTTCCCTAAAAAGAGATGGTGATGAATCAGACAGGATACCTATTCTTATTACTGAAACAAAGTACTCAAAAAGAGTTTGGTCATAAGAAATAAAGAAAAATATTGGAACTGGAATGTAAAATAAGAATATAACAACTAGCTTAGTTACTAGCTTAGAACTGCTTACATTTCCTTCAACTAGAAAGAGATAGGTCCCATACTCAGGTCTGGCTGAACTTTCTAATGGGCATTAAACAGCCTCAGATGAAAAATTTAGAGAGCTAAAAGAAAAAGAAGTGAAGTCATTTAAATGAAATCCAGTATTCAGAAATAATACAGAAAGAACTCTTCATTCCTGCCTTCGGAACAGAACTGAAACTACTATCAAAGAATTAGGTATACATATGTTAAACCTACTATGTAGCAAACCCCCCATACATGTAGTACGAGGTTTAAATTACATCTTAATTTATTGTGTACAAAATTAGCCATATCAGATGTTACATCCTATATTATTCTATTTTTAAAAAATTATTTTTGAGGTCATATTGGATTATAGCATTGTGTAAATTTCAGGCGTGCATTATTATATTTCGGCTTCTGTACAGATTGCATCGTGTTCATCACCAATAGTCTAGTTTTTATCCGTCACCATACATATGTGCCCCCCTCATTCCCCTCTGGTAACCATCAATCTATTCTCCTTATCTACGCGTTTGTTTATCTTCCACATATGAGTGAAATCATACGGTATTTGCCTTTCTCTGTCTGACTTATTTCACTTAGCATAATATCCTCAAGGTCTATCCCAAAGTTGTCACAAATGACATGATTTTGTCTTTTTTTATGGCTGAGTAGTATTCTTTAAAATTGTATTTCCAGCATTCAAGAAACTAAGTTCTTGAATCTTATAATTAAAATAGTGTTATTTTTAGAGACGTCTAGAGCTTTACATTTTGTTTAATATGAAGTTCTTCAGATTACACACTTAATAAAATCCCTTAGGGAAAAAAAAAATGGATCTTATATGTGCCTTCCCAGTAAAAGCTGTCAACATCCTAATCCCCAGAACCTGTGAATATGTTCTCTTACTTATTCACATATATGAAACTACACACATATGGCAAACGGGACTTTGCAAATGTAATTAAGATTATGGACCATGAAATGGGGAGATTATCCTGGATTATCTGAGTCAGCCCAATCTAATCACTGGAGTCCTTAAAAGAGAGAACCTTTCTCAGTTGTTTTCAAAGAAAGAGAACAGGACAGATGAGAGTGTGAGAAGAACCCGGTGCGTCATTGTTGGCTTTGAAGATAGAAAGGACCCAAGAAATGCAGGCAGCCTCTGGAAGTTGAAAACGACAAGGAATCAGATTCTCCCCAATAGCCTCCAGAAAGGAATGCAGCCCTGTTGACACCTTGATTTTAGTCCAGGGAGATCAGTGTTGGACTCTTGACCTACAAAACTATAAAATAACAAATCTGTATTGCTTAAGCCATCTAGTTGGTGGTAATTTGTTACAGCAGCAATAAAAAACTAATACAGTACATATTCTATAAGTAACATTAGTTTTATAAATTAAGATATTAATTTCAATTTACTCAGCCTAATTTTAGAAATAATACACATAGAAACATACACATAGACAAAAACTCTAGACTAAAAATAAGACAACCTGTATTCTAGTTACAGTCTGACAGCTAAATATTTGTGTGAACTTGGGTAAACTACTACTTCACCATTTGGACACCAATTTCCTCATCTGTAAAATGAAATCTATAAAACAATTGTTATGAAATAAAGCAAAAAGGCAATGATAGTCAATACTATCTTAGACTCAAGAAACCTCAGGATTAAACAGAACAAGGAAATAGCCATTAATTCAAAATTAAGTTAATGAGAATAGCATTACATAATTAACTCCATTTTTAACAATGAATTCTATACTAAATGAAATGAGCAATTAAAATAAGAATGACTTACATGTGTAACAAAGCCTTTAACAGAAGGATCATATTTCAAGGCTGAAAAAACCTTAAAGATTTCTTGAAGGAAAGTCTATGATATAAAAAAATATATGGGTCTGATAAGTATCATTATCTAAGGCACAGACAGTAAAATCAATTGTCTTTTTCACTCTTTCTGATGACAACTCTCTCATCGTTTAGAGAATTTCACAGAAAAAATCATTTTTGATCTTCAGAAACTGAATGTTGTCTTCTTTGTGTATTTTCCTCACTGTATTTCAGTACTTTTTATACAAAAGATCAATTATAACAAAGTATTTATGTCATTTCTTAAAATAAATTCTGAGTGGGAGTACATACTACCATGATGCTTTGGTCCTCCAGAAGCAATAAACCACCAGTCTTATATAGTGACGCTTGCAAGTACACCATGGTGAAGATTACCAAAATTCTTCAACTAGAAACCTATCCCACTTTGGTTTGAGAGATTACATTTAAGGGCAAAAAAAATTAATTTTTTCAGGTTTTTAAAGAGAAAATATTTTTATTGTAAAGGCTTTTAGTAATTTTTCAAATCAATTACTAAACTACTCCTAAAATAATGATTATCTACTTAAGACTGTCAAATGTCTCTGGTAGATAGTAATTAGTGCCATATTATAAATTCCAGCCAGGCCAAAGAAACATTCTCAAACCAAAATGAGAATCGAGGACAAGAGGATCATCATAATTTGGAATTCCACAACTACTAGATATATTAATAACTCACATAACTGGAAAATAACTCAGTTTTAAGAGATTTATTCCATACATAATTCTGAAGTAGGACACACTTTTAAAAGCCAAGATGATTTTTGATGACAGCCTTGTTTAAACACACTTAAATCACAGAATCCAGTGGATTTAGAAGGGAACGTACAGATAATCTGACAGTGAGACCTCAACTACCTTTCCTGTGATTTAATAATTTGATCTTATTCATTAGAAAACACGGAAGCTTTGAAAAGTTAATTATATACTGCTTTCAAAAACTATGTAGCATGTTCCACCTTACGATTTAATGTAAAACATGTATCTTCTTTCACTTGAATATTTCCCTTAGAAATCATCATAATTCTGCCAGCAACTGAAGAAAATTCCTAAAGATATGATATAATTTACATAAGCAGTCATTCTATTTATAAATGCCAAGTATCTCAGTCATTGTTCACTTAAATCAGTGATGACTTGTCTTTTATTTTGAAGTGGTAATTAAAAGTTGCATCATTTTATCATATTCTCAACAAAGCTTGGGAAAACATTTTAATATCTTAGTACTCAATAAACATTATCAGATTATCTTTTTAACTAGGACATATAACAAATACAGTAGAAGCCTTTGTATATTCTAGCACCCTAAGATACTATGACAATTGCCATGAAGGAACATCAACTTAGAATGGTAATGAAATAAGACACAGGTCAATATAAAGTACTTCCGTAAATCTTCAACAAATTCAATGTTAAATGTTCAATATATTTAATATGAAACTATATAAACAGACTTTTTTTTTTGAGGAAGATTAGCCCTGAGCTAACATCTGTTACCAATCCTCCTCTTTTTTTCTTCCTGAGGAAGATTGGCCCTGGGCTAACACCCGTGCCCATCTTCCTCTACTTTATGTGGGACGCCTGCCACAGCATGGCTTGATAAGCAATGTGTATGTCAGTGTCCGGGATTCAAACCTGCGAACCCCGGGCCACCAAGGTAGAGCGCGCGAACTTAACCACTATGCCACCGGGCCGGCTCCCCTATAAACAGACTCTTTAAACTAGTTTTTAAATGCAGGCATTTATAATTTAAGGACCAAAAGTTAGGCTTACACTAATCTCTCAAAATCAGTTGATCTGAATATAAACTAGTTTCATTTCATCGTCTAGATTAGAATATATACCTAAAAAGGAATGTCTAACAGGATTAGTTAGATATTCTCAATTATGTCCTTCCATTTCCATTCCCATAGTTTTTTGCAGTCTCTTCATATAAAAAATTCTGACTTAAAGAACATTCTGGGGCCAGCCCCGTGGCTTAGCAGTTAAGTGCGTGCGCTCCGCTGCTGGCGGCCCGGGTTCGGATCCCGGGCGTGCACCGACGCACGGCTTCTCTGGCCATGCTGAGGCCGCGTCCCACATACAGCAACTAGAAGGATGTGCAGCTATGACATACAACTATCTACTGGGGCTTTGGGGGAAAAATAAATAAATAAATAAATAAAGTGCCTTAAATATTAAAAAAAAAAAGAACATTCTGCCTGAACTTCCTATCAAGATGGCATAGTGAGTTTATATTTAAGACTCATCCCGTCAGCTCTGAACACATCATAATAACAGACAAAAGAGAAAAGAAGAAAACTGGGGTTAAAAAAGATATTTAACTAGTCTTAAAAAAAAATACAACTCAATTGAAAAATGGGCAAAAAACTTGAAAAGACATTTCACCAAGTAGAATATACGGATGGCAAACAAGCACATGTAAAGATGTACAATATCATTAGCCAGTAAAGAAATATGAATCACAATAAGATACCTACCTATCAGAATGACTAAAATAAAAAATACTGACAATAACAAGTGCTAGTGAGGATGCAGAGCAACTAGAACTCTCATACCTTGTTGGGAGAATGCAAAATGGCACAGCCACTCAGGAAAACAGTCTGGCAGTTTCTTAACATACACTTACCATAGGACCCAGCAATCCCACTCCTACGTATTTACCCTAGAGAACCGAAAACATATGTTCACACAAAAACCTGTACATGAATGTTTATAGCAGCTCTGTTCAAAATCTCCAAAAAAGAAAAAGAAAAGGCACCCAAATGTCCTTCAACTGCTGAATGAATAAACAAACTGTGGTACATCTGTGCAATGGAATACTACTCAGCAATAAAAAGGAATGAACTATTGATACATGCAACAACTCAGCTGAATCTCAAAGACATTAAGCAGAAAGAAAGAAACCAGTCTCACAAAAGGTTAAATACTATAGGATTCCATTGATGTGACATTCTTGAAAAGATAAAACTACAGTGTCAAAGAACAGATCAGTGCTTACCAGAAGTTATAGGTGGGGGGAGGGTGTGACTAAAATGAGATAGCACATGGGAGGATTTTGGTGTAATGGGGTTCTATATCCTAACTGTGGCATTGGTTACGTGAATCTACGTATGTGTTAAAATTCATAGAACTGTACCAAAAAATGTCAATTTTACTCGACATTAATTTAAAAATATATATATATACACACACATATACATATGTATGAATGTATATATATACATATATATATATACTCCTCCCACTCCTATCCCATGGCCCAAAAATAAAATAAAAATGTTAAGTGCAGGGCCGGCCCCGTGGCTTAGCGGTTAAGTGCGCGTGCTCCGCTACTGGCGGCCCAGGTTCGGATCCCGGGCACGCACCGACGCACCGCTTCTCCAGCCATGCTGAGGCTGAGTCCCACATACAGCAACTAGAAAGATGTGCAGCTACGACATACAACTATCTACTGGGGCTTTGGGGGGTAAAAAAAAAGGAGGAGGATTGGCAATAGATGTTAGCTCAGAGCCGGTCTTCCTCAGCAAAAAGAGGAGGATTAGCATGGATGTTAGCTCAGGGCTGATCTTCCAAAAAAAAAAAAAGTTAAGTGCAGCAGAGCTAAAGCTACAGACCTATTGAGCTCCTTTATACAGAAGAAAGCAGTGCCACATAATCAGCCAGTTCCCGAAGGGTAATAGCAACTAAAGTTCTCTAGCTCTAGCAAAGACCACAGCTAGACTCACTGCTTGAACTTACACCTCAAACCACTACCATACCATCACAAGGCTAGCCTCTGGAAATAAGGCTGCGGGTAAAAATAAAACTATTGTCAAACCACTACTGGTACTAAGGCTTTAAAGAACTGCAGAGAAGGAGCCAAAAACCTGCAAAGATATTCCCTCAAGTTGTTAACTTACTCCTAAACAGCACATGCACAGGGCAAAACCCCAAGACTGTCAGTAGAAAATGGCAGCTGGGAAGCTAAAGATCTGATCGGAGATTTCAGTAGCCACACAGTATTGGGAAGATTGTAAGGCCTGTGAAGTTAAAAGAACCTTGATAAAATACTCTGGCTTTAAAGTGAGACTTCAGAATGGCCTAGGTTTAGGAATACCAGTCCCAGCGTGCAATAACAGCAAAAGTGAAACAGATCAGCCCTCACAAAACCTAAAACTAATCCTCAACAAGATCACAAAAGATGATTCACAAAACGGGCACATAAATATTTGACATCAAAATGTCATTCCTGTTTTCTTAAGTATAAAACTTCAAATCCTTATGTTCCTATTGTATATGATTTAAAACAGCTAATTCAGGTGAAGCCAGTTTATGTCTCATAGCACCTAAGTATTCATATAGCTATTGCTCTGATCTCTCTACCAACAAGCTACTTTACCTTCTATCCTTTCTCTTTCCTGCTTCCTATGACTTTAGCTGGTACAAGATTCAACTTAAACTAACTCAACCTCATGAAATCTCATTAGTTCAGCTGCACTGCTAAATCATTCATTTTTCTAATTCCAATCAGATTAGATAAAATCATTTTTATAGACAAGAAGAAAAACAGATTGCTGGCCAGTCTATGTATTGGGCTTCTCTTGAATCAGGTGCCCCCTCCTAAGTCGACAGTTGGAAAGAATGGTATCAAGAGATATAAAATGCACACTTGACTGGGCATACCTCTTTGGCAGGGGTCAACAGCACAGAAGCTGTTTCCCTTAGAAAGATGTATGGGTGGAAAGGCAATTAACAACATCTCTTTAGAGTCTAGGCTTAAAGGCCAACAGAGTCTCAAACATAATACTTGTGGCTCTACAATCTCCTTTAAATCATTCAATATGTATTGACCATCAACTACATGAGTAATATTACGCTATATGGCAAATAATTATATAAAAGAGGGTCTCCATACTTAAGAAGTATACAATCTAGTTGAATAACACGCATATACACAAAACATTTAAATAACAAATAATACAAGGTGGAAGGTGATTAAATGCCAAATGAATGGAAACTATTGAAAAGTAGAGGTTAAAAAAAGGTCTCATGATAATTTTAGATACTCATCACATAAAAATGCTTTAGTTGTTATCTGTTCATTAACAGATAAGTTAATGTTCACAGAAAGAGACTCAGGAGAAATCCCCAATACTAAGAACAAACCCCAAATTTTGAGGATAACAGCTCTACTTCAAAGGATTTTGTGTGGGCTTACCCCTAAACTTTATAATGATATTGTATTTGGTAGTACAGTCAGTATAAAAATGAAATCCATCTCTCTGTGCACTCTTTCAAAAGAATGATTCTTTTAAAAAATAGGATGCATTCATTTACTCATTCAATACATTTTTATTAAGCATCTACCACATGCCAGACACTGTGATAGATGCTAGGGAGATAGAGTGGTAAGTAAATAGACATTTGCAAAATAGTCACTTCATTTCCCTATTGATAAACATATATGAATCCTATATCAAAATAGGGAAGAAGATGAAAATTATTACTCGGTATTACAGAACTCACTACAATTTAGATAAATGTGTGTGCATAAATAAATGTGCACATATATATTTGACATAATATACCATATGTGTAATAAACCATTCTATGTAATCTACCACGTGTTCAGGATCTGCTACAGAGATTTTATTTTGTGACACAATAAAGAAACATTAGGTGCTTATGCTACTTCCATCTTCTTTTGTTTTTTGTTTTCTGTTTATAAACTAGGGACGTGTTTATCTTTCAAATTCTGAATCCACTTTTATTCCAATATTTTAAATCTACACATTAATATTATCTGTCACATATTGTCTGAGAACTATTGAAACCTTTATGTTGTACCATGTATGTATTGTACTATGTATTCTTGCCATAACAATCTGCATTGTAAGTATCTATCACAGATGTTCAACTCAGGGTCAATGAAATCCCTGCATACCCATTTTAACAGAATAAAAATGAGGTTATTAGGATCATTTCTAAAGTTGGTTCAGGCACCAAATGTCTGTGATTCCCTGACCATAAAACTGACAGCGTGAGAGCAAAACACAGATAAAATCCAACAATCTGCTGGGACCTGTATCTAATTTAAGATGTCATTGAAGCCATAGTTCCAATTGTTGCACTGGCCATTCTATAGAACCTAACCTTAATCTCATTTTTGTTCCCACCTCTGCCCTTGATTACACACCCATCCTGGCATAAATCATAAGTCCATGTGGTTTTCACACATTAAAAACCCAGAAAGTTCAGGAAAGTAAAATATCCCAAAATGTAAACTTTTAGATAAGTAGCCAAATATTTTTAATTCGTACTAAATTATATCTAGTACCATTTCATAATCAAGATAAAATAAGAGAGCTTTTTGATGAAATTAAACAATAGGAAGACAAAGAAGCCAAGGAACTATTAATATTAAAAACTAATAATTTAGATTAACTGAGAAATTAACTAAATGGAAACCATAAAAAAGAACCAAATAGAAATTCTATAACTTAAAAGTACTCTAATTGAAATTAAAACCTTACTGGAAGGGCTTAACAATATACTGGAGATAGTAGAAGAAAGTGAAGTTGAAGACCAATCAATTAAAATCATCCAACCTGACAGAGAGAAAAAGGACTGAAGAAAAATGAATAAAGCTTCAGAAACCTATACGACAATATCAGATGATCTAAAATATGTGTAATTGCGGTCCCCGAGGACAAGAGAGTGAGACTGGGGCAGAAGAAATATTTGAAAAATAATGGCCGAAAACTTCCCAAATATGATAAAAAACATCAACTTTCAAGAAGTTTAGCCAATCACAAGTAGGATAAATATAAAGAGAACCACATACCTAGGCATATCATAGTCAGATTGATAAAAACCAAAGATAAAGAAAAAAAATCCTGAAAGCAGCCAGTAAAGGAGGAAAAAGGGGAAAAAGACACATCATGTACAAGAGAAACAAGGATAAGAATGACTACCAACTTCTCGCTGGAGGTCAGAAGACAACAGAATGTCATCTTTAAAGTACTGGGGGGGGAAGTAGCAACCTAAAATTTTACATTCAGCAAAAATATCCTTCAAAAATGAGGGTGAAATAAAGACATTTTCAGCTAAACAAAAACTGAGAGAATGCTTCCCAGACAATCTGCACTATAAGAAATGCTAAAGGATGTCTGTCATTCAGGCCAAAGAGAAAGGATACTAAATGCATACTTAGATCTACAGGAACGAACAGAGAGCACTAGAAATGGTAAATAAGTGGATAAATATAAAGACTATGTTTTCTTTCTTCCCATAATTCAAAGTCAAATAACTATGAAATGCAAAATATAACACTGTAAGGTAGGGTTTATAACATATATAAGTAAAATATATGATGAAAATCAAACAAAAAAGGGGAGAGAAAATGGAATTATATTGTTGTAAGGTCTTACACTGGAAAATGGAACCAGGAAGGAAGGTGGGTCAGGTGGAAAATGAGATGGACAGAGAGTACTTTAGGAAGTGTCAGTTGTGAAATGTGAGATAATTTTCTGAGGAGATGGAAATATTCTTATCTTGCCTGTGGTAGTGGTTATATGCAAAGAGATAAGGAAAGTAAACACATTTATAGACATACTAGGGAGTTAGGCATTAATGAACAAGCAGATGTTGAGAAGAATAAAAGCGAGATGTCTAAGATGACTTCAAGTTTTCTGGATTATAGAGCTATCAGTCCCCCTTAACCACACTGGGAGCTACAGTTAGAGAAGGTTTCAAGGATAAAAGCAACGAGTTCTATTTTGGGCATAGGGAGGTGCCTAGAAGACAATCAAGCAGAAAAGAGAATACAGAACGGAATGTAAGAATTCAGAGGGCAACAAACCTCCCAGCTCAAGACTTAGATATAGGAGGCAAGAACATAAAAGCGATAGTTAAGGTAATAAGTATACAAAAGGATACCCAAAAATGATATCTAGCATAAGATGGGCTAAGGACCAGAGACAGAGGTCCAATAAATGCAGATATTTCATACAAAGGAGAAAAAGCCCTTAAAGAATGAAAAGTAGCCATAAAGATAGGTGATAAACAGGGAAAGAGCAGTGTCACTGAAAGACAGAGAAAAGGAGTTTTAAGGAAGAATAGGTTGATCAGCAGATCAAATCCTGTGGAGACTTTAAATCAAGATAAGTAGATGAATAAGAAAAAACGAAAAGGAAATCTCTAGTGCCAGAAGCAAAAATGAAACTCAAACCCACAGTAATAAGTAGGGCTCATACTCAGCAGCCTCTGTAGTTACAAATTCCATCCAGACATCTTAAGGGCTATAGTTTAATGCCTGTTCCCAAAGGAACAGCAGTGGAGGATAGCTGGCACTGGCCTTCTTGCACAAAGCCAAAAGCCAGAAAGAAGCTACCCCTTTCATGAAGAAGAATTAGAAAAACATTGGTCACTGGCTCTCAAACAAGTCATGGAAGCTGGTGGCTCACCTGTGGGCAGAACAGGAGACAATCTTAAAATCAGTCAGAGATGGAACATGAAATCAAGGGAGACTTTTGACAAGATAGGAAAGACTTGAGCATGTCTATCTGTTATCTTTTGCTATATAACAAACCACTCTAAAACTCAGTGGCTTAAAAAATAACCATTTATTTAGCTCATAATTCTGTGGATCAACTGGACAGATAAGGTAAAAATTATAGGAAAAGTTACTTACCTCAGCTAACCTCTGCTGGGCTTGCTCATACATCAACTGGTATGTCAGCTAATACCTGAATTATTAATGCCTTACTTATATGTCTGTCAGTGGGTAGGCTGTCAGTTTGAGCAACAGCGGTGACTGGCCCATATGTGTATCTCATTATTAGCTAGAAGCTAATAATCCAGGTTTCTATACACAGCAGGAGCAGAGAGGCTCCAAAACACAGCAGAGGAAACTACAAGACCTCGAGGTCTAGGTTCAGGACCTGCTAAATAGCGCTTAGCCATATTCAATTGGTCAAAGGTAACAAGATAAGCCCAGATTCAAGGGATGAGATAAAAGGCCCTACATCAGAATAGGAGGAGATGTAAAAAACTGTGGCCATTTCTGCAGTTTACCACTGCATCTTTTTAATAAAGAAAAGATATAAAAGAGAAAAGAGGCAGCTCACTTAAAATGAAGCCAAGGAGTTGATGGTCATTGGAACACAAAGTGAAGCCGACAGGATGCAGAGAACTGTAAATTAGGTACCAAATAACAACCAAAGAAACTTGGAAGCTGAGACTTGATAAGGATTTCTTTAAAAGAGAAGAAGGGCCATGGAAATGGCATATCATTTATCCTTACCACTGAAACAATCACCATGAGAAAGCCTAAAGAGGATTGCCTAAACTGCCATTTTAAAAATAAAACCTGGGGGGCCGGCCCAGTGGCGTGGCGGTTAAGGTTAAGTTTGCGCGCTCAGCTCCAGAGGCCTGAGGTTCGCAGGTTCGGACCCCAGGTGCAGACATAGGCACCGCTTGTCAAGCCATGCTGTAGCGGCGTCCCATATAAAGTGGAGGAAGATGGGCACGGATTATAGCCAGGGCCAATCTTCCTCAGCAAAAAAAGATGAGGACTGGCAACAGATGTTAGCTCAGGGCTAATCTTCCCCCAAAAAAACTAAAATAAAATAAAATAAAACCTGGCTTTTTGTAGCTAAGTTAACATAACTCAATCAAGGACTTCACAAAATGCTACCAAAGTTGATTGGATGACTTATTAATGTCAACATGCTTGGAAATATCTTATCTTAGCATTATTCTGTATGAATAAATTTTTTCAATGATATTTCTTTTACATTAATTAAAATTGAAATTGACTTGTTTTAGAAAAGACAGGTGAGTAACTTCAGCAAATTCACTGGAAAAGAAGATGTTTCAATGTCATTTTCCTTTCCATTTCAGTTATACCAAAACATTTAAAATTGCTATCACTTGGTTGTAAATAAGCCCAAAATCACAAAGTAACAGCTTTATATTAACTGAATACAGTTAACTTAAAAACTAGATACCTGAATAATTCAGCATTATTTTGAAAAATACAAACAAAGCTTCACTTTGATAATTCTATTAAGTAGATATCACTGAATATGAGATTCTGAAATATCTTTTTTAAATTCCCTCACTCAAAAACAGTAATTTCATTCGAAGAGCTAATTATGTTATCTTTAAGTCATTTATCTCAATGAAATAAAGTTGTAGTGTAATACAGTGTAGCGGGTTAAGAACATGGACAATCCAGGCTGCTCAGGTTGAAATTCTAGCTCCACCAGTAAACTACGTGACTTAGATAAATCACTTCACTTCTCTGTGCCTCAGTTTCCTCATATGTAAAATTAGGATAATAGGCCATATTATCTCATCAGGTTATGATTAATTTTAACTGAGTTAATATATGTACAGTGGTCAGTACAGAGCCCGATATATAGTAAGCATGATATGTGTTAACAATGATTATTATTAGAGTTTTTCTCCTGTTATATAGAAAAAGCCCTGGATTGGGGCTTAAGTTCTAATTCTGCCACTTGTTACACCATTGAGCGATTTACTTGACTTCTCTGAGCCTCCTCCATTTCCTTCCTTTGACTCTAAGGTCTCTCATTTTGAGAAACTCTGGTTACGTTATTGTGTGTTAAGGAGAAAATTCACAGTTACTTCTCTCTCCTCATTAAATTAGGAGCTCATATCATCTCTTTCCCTTGCTCATTCTCAAATACATTGTCTCTCTTAATTTCCCATTTCTTTTCATTCATTTTAATATTTACTAATTTTCTTCAGATTCATCAGCCCCATTTTTCCCCATTTGTCTCTGGTGACATTTTCCTAGGGGCTTGACACAATTGTATTCTTACTTGCCTCTAGCAGTCATACCGTTTCCAATAATCTCAGTCCAGTCATGGTCTGCCACCCTATGATGCAATAATAACACCAACAACACAACATTTTTATAGCATTTTTACATTCATTCTCCCATTTAAGTCTCATAACCATCACCCTGAAACAGGTTATCAGGCTCAGAGAAAGAATGTGATTTGATCTACAACATGCAGAGCCAGGACACAAACCTAGGATAAATGTCTCAGGATATTTTTTGTGTTATTCCTCATTGTTTCCTTGTCTTACTAGAATAAGCATGAAATTAGTTATCAAGAGGACCTAATTTTGAGCACCCACTCTGATACTTACCATTTGACCTTGTAAGGATATATTACCACTCTGAACCTCAGTTTCCCCATTTATAATACTGGGATAACAAGAAGTTTTGTAAGAAAAAAACAAAAAAAAAATGCTTTATAAAATCTAAGGGGCTATACTGTTTTCAACATCGTGTTCTTGTCAAAACCTATCTCTTTCTGATTCACTGCATAACTACATTTTCTCCCCTTAGCCCATGTAGCATAGGATTATAACAGCTTTTACTCACTGTTCTGAATTAACCCCCTATTTCTCAGACTCTTTTGCTTCTTTTAATCCATAGAAGAGCTATTCTATGCTTGGAAAGAACAATTCCACTAACAGAGGAAATACGGTCATTCAAAAATTTGCTAAGCATCAACTACATGCCAGGAACTATGAACTATAGAACAATATATCAAGAGAAAGAAAAGAATGGGCCAGCTCCGTGGCTTAGCGGTTAAGTGCGTGCACTCCGCTGCTGGCAGCCCAGGTTCAGATCCTGGGCGCGCACCGACGCACCGCTTCTCCGGCCATGCTGAGGCCGCGTCCCACATACAGCAACTAGAAGGATGTGCAACTATGACATACAACTATCTACTGGGGCTGGGGTGGGGGGGAGAAAGAAAAGAAGAGACCTACTAAAATGGGAGAAAGATCAATAAAAGTAGACGTCTGGTCAATTTTTCACCCATCTACAAGAAGCTGAGAGATCTCTTTTTCCTCCACTTTCTTTCTACTCCTTTAATTCTAACTCCTTCCACCTCCTCTGTTAGATAGAAGAAGAAAGCAAAAAGAAGAATGAGGAAAAGCTGGGTTCAGTTGCAAAGGCTACACCAGGGAGAATGGGATAAAATATGGTATCTAGAAGTCTACAGCAGTCCTAACACTTCAGATATCCTACATAAAGTATCAGTAACTAAGAAACAGGGGGAAAAAGAGAACAAAATTACTTGGCAATTATTTTCTGAGGTTCATACAAGTACATTATCACATTTAATATCTATACAATCTTGAGAAAGAGCATTCTTCTTTCACTCAACCATTATTTACTGGGCACCTATTATGTGCTAGGCACTGTTTCAGGTACTTGGAATACATAAGTAAACAAAACAAACAGATGAAGATCCTTGCCCTAGGGAAACTTATTCTAACAAGAAAGGGACAATAAACAACTAGATATGTAAATTAAGAAATATGTTAATGGCAATAAATGCTATAGAAGAATAGAGAGCAGGTAAGGGGATTAGGAGTATAGAGGTGATGAGTCTATGCGAAAAAGATAAGAGGTTGTAATTTTAATTACAGTGGTTTGAGAAGGTGACATTCAAGGAAGTTGGTTGTGTGGTTCCTAGGAGCCACCGGAGAGTTCTGAGCAGGGAAGTGAAATATTTTACTTATTTTTGAAGTGATCACTTTAATACTTTGTTAAGAAAAGACCATAAGGGGGCAGCTGAGAGACCAGGTAAGAGATAACAGAGGTTTAGACCAGGGCGGTAGCAGTGGAGGTAGTGAGAAATTGACATATTTTGAATATATTTTCATATTTTGAAAGTAGGGCTTGACAAGATTTTGATTACAAATTGGTTGTGGGAGTAAGAAAGAGAAGAATCAAAGGTGGTTCAAACTGGAAAAACATAGTAGACATTTCCTGAGCTGACAAATACTGTGGAAAGAGCAAGTCTTGAGCAGGGAATCAGAAATTTGGTTTGAGACATATTAATTATAAGACGTTAATTAGACATCCAAATGACAATGTCAAGTATGGGATTTATGTGTGTATATATACATGTATATCCCCTACTTGACACATATATGTTCCTACTTGACAGATATATATATATGAGAGTCTGGCATTCAAAAGAGCGCTCTTAAATGGGATATAAATATAAATTTGGGAGTTGTCAGTATATAGTTGGTATTTAGAGCCATGGTCATCAAGGGAATGAGTGTACATAGAGAAGAGAACCAAAGACAGTCTAACTTTTAAGAGACTGAGTAGAGGAGGAGGACAAGTGATACAGCAAGAAAGATTTTTAAAAAGTATAATTTCTTGGAAGCCAAGTGAAGAAGGTATAGGTAAGAGGAAATGATCAACTGCATCAAATGCTGCTGCTAAGTCAAGGGAGATGAGTATTGAGAAATTAACTTGAGATTTAGCAATATGAAGGTCACTGGTAACCTTTTCAAGAGTAGTTTCAATCCAGTGATAATGGCAATAGCCTAATTGTACTGTATTTAAGAGGAAATTGAAGAATGGAATTGGACACAGTGAGCATAGACAACTCTCAAGGAGTGTATGTATGTATGCATGTATGTATTTATTTATTTTTGTGAGGAAGATCAGCCCTGCGCTAACATCCATGCCAATCCTCCTCTTTTTGCTGAGGAAGACTGGCCCTGGGCTAACATCCGTGCCCATCTTCCTCTACTTTACATGGGATGCCGCCACAGCATGACCCGACAAGCGGTGCGTCGGTGTGCACCCAGGATCCGAACCCGGGCCGCCAGCAGCAGAGTGCGCGCACTTAACCACTACACCACGGGGCCGGCACCCTAAAGGAGTTTATTTTAAATGGGGAGCAAATGAAGTGTTACCTGGTAAGAGAAGTAGGGCCAAGTAACAGATGTCTTAAAAATAGAAATAGCAATAGGTTTGTCTTCTTATGGCAGTGATGCAGTACTGAGAAAACTTTATGACATAGTAAGAGTGGAGAATTGCTGGAGCAATATCCTTAAGTAGGCATAAAGAAATAAAACCTAATGCACAAAGGAGGAATTGGCTCTAGAAAGGTAAAAAGTAATAGGTGAGAATACACAGTATAGGGACAGGAGATGTTGGTAGGTAGGTAGACATGGTTAAAGGAATCTATACAAGTTCTCTTCTGACTGCTTCAATTTTTTTCAGTGCGGTAGAATGCAAAATCATCAGATGAGAACAAGATTGGGGATGAGATATTGCTTGGAAGTCTGATGAGAGAAAAGATGAAATAAACCATCGAACAGAACAGAAAAACAAATGAACTAGGAAAATATCGTATGAACGCCAGGTAGTAGTAAGGACTCACTTGATGTTTGTGACCATGAATTTGAAGTAAAACTAGTCAGCATGATTTTGCACTTTCCTCTAGACACGTACAGCTCCGTAAGTTCAGATTTGGAGTCGAAGTAAGATTGGATTTAACCTAGGTTATAGTTTTTCCTGGTGATCTAGTGGTTAAGATTTGGCACTCTCACCGCCAAGGCCTAGGTTTGGTTCCCAGTCAGGGAACCACACTACCCATCTGTTAGTTGTCATACTATGGTAGGTGTGTGTTGTTGTGATGCTGAAAGTTATACCACTGGTCTTGTAAATTCCAGGCGGGTCATCCATGGTGGACAAGTTTCAGCAAAGCTTCCAGACTAAGAAAGACCAGGTAGAAGGACCTAGCCACCCACTTCGGAAAAAATTGGCCATGAAAATCCTATGAATAGCAGCAGAGCATTGTCTGATATAGCACCAGAAGATGAGAAGATGGCAGAAAAAGACTGGGCAGGGTTCTGCTCTGCTCTACACAGGGTCACTACGAGTTGGAATCAACTCAACAGCACTAACAACAGTTTTTCCAAGTGAGTATGACCAAGTTAGAGTGAGACCAGAAAGTTAAGGATGTATGCCAGGGAGTTGAGGATGCACGCTACAGATAATGAAGGACCATGAAATTTAAGTTAGATAAAACGGGAAGCGATGACTCAAGGGACAAAGGGACAATTAGAAGCTATTAATAACAATTATTATCTCTATTTTATAAATAAGATTTAAATAAGTTGCCCAAAGCACACAGCTTTTTAGTGACATAACTGGAATAGAATCTGAAACCAGATGTGCCTCGTTCAAGCCACTCTTTCCATGGTACCAACAGCACCAAGCTGTCTTGAAAATCTGATTTTCACTGGCATGCCAACCTCCACCAGGTTGGACCTAAGGCAAAATTACAAGTTAGACAATTTTTCCCAGTGCTTTCTTGCCTCTCTCTTCTTCCATGTCCAAATGCTAAGAGCCCTTCAGTGTCCAAACTACAAATGAGTCTTGCCCTCCCCCAATTTGTACAAAATTACTTTCAGTTTTCCCTACAGATGGACCCTCTTGATGAAAATCTGAACCACTAAGAATTGCTCTGAATAGAAAATATCTATAAATATAAACGACTAGATAAACTTAACCCTCTTCACAGGTATTCTCATTCTAACAGGGGGTCTACTTAACTCACTTTAAACTCCACTGTGAAACATATTAGGTAAAAATAATTGAGCTAGATCAAGAACTTTTGTTCTTGACTTTTATTATTTCTAGGACTCTCTCCCTTAAGAAATATATCCTTTACAAAATCCCACAATTCTGATTTTTATCTTCCCTCAGAGAATGAGAAAGTGATGATACTACATGCTGTAGATCAAACCCAAACTCGTATTAAAGACATTTTATATTTAGAAATGTAAATTGGACATGATAGTAAGTCTGGAACTACCTGGCAAAGCAAGAACTAAATGTAGCCATTTTGAGGGCTTTTCTGTTGTTAGAGTACAAGGTTGAAAAAACAAAGGTCTTGTTTATAATTTATGTCAAGAGTATTATTTTTAAAGAAACCATCAAGTTAGCACAATAAGGCTTCAATCCCAAATATACACCAAAGTATCATCACTCATCACTGGTGATCTTGGTGTGCAGAAGGTAGAATTCTACTATAAATAATATACATCTCTGTATTTAATTTATTTTCAGTTAGCATGTATGGTAAATTTTATTACAATATTCAATTATTCACTCCATCTTCCTTCAAAAGGATAATCATGTCCACCTGTTCCTATGTAACTTATAGCACTCTTGTAGGAGTAAATATCTCTGCCCCGCTGACTTTGGTTTTGGCCATTGATTTGCTTTGGCCAATGGCACATAAACAAACATCCAAGCAGAAGTTTTAAGAGTCACTGTGTATTTCTGCCAAATCTGTCTTTTTTCCCTGTTATAAGAACAACGTGGCCCATATAGGAGCTGTTCTCCAGCCTGGATCTCAGAATTAGAAGATACATGAACCAAGAGTAGAGCCACTGCCAACACTCAGCTAACAGGTAGCAAGAGCAAAAAACAAACAGTTGTTGTTGTAACTCAATGAAATATTGGGGTCATTTGTTATGCAGCATAACTCAGCAAAAGTTAATACAGTTAAGTTTACAATCAGAAAAAAACAGATTTCACTGCTTCAATCTTTAAGGATGGCAGTTATTATAATACCTCAACGACAACTAGGGAAAAAAAAAATGAATGAATTGCAATCATATTTTTAAGATATCAGAGAGCTTATGAAGTAACAAGTAGATAAACTGAAATTCCAGACAGAGAAGAGCCCCTCCTAGGTGAGCTGACAATCACCTGCTATTTCTTTCCTAGGAGCATTTAAAGATTCTGGGCATAGACTAAGAATTGAGATTGGCCCAGGCAGAAAGATTAGTAAAAATAGAAAGCAGAAGAGCTTTTTAGTGTGGTGGACTAAAAACCAGGAAGCCCCAAATGCAAGTCTAAAAGGGACATTTGCTGAGTTCTACAGAGATGTAGGAGGCTGGAGGAATGAGCTAGAATGGCAGAGTGAAATCTCCCTCAGTCTTATGATACTTAAGAGAAAACTTGCTGGAAAAGGAGGGATAACCACAAGCAACACATGACAGGTCTCCAACATGTGCCTGAATTTGAAGCAGTATGAAGCAAGAGATCAAGGGCCAATCTCAAAACCTTCAAAGAACAGAATTGAATCTCCTGTAGTCTTTCAGGACTGTGGAGAAGAAAACTGACAGTCTCTCAATCCAAAACCTAGGTCAAGGTTGACAACTGAGAAATGACTCAATCTTACTAAAACTGCAATCCAGACTGACCCTAATTAAATCCAGTTCAATTCCTAATTAAATTGAGGTGTCAGAATTTCACCCAATTGGCCCAATAGTTGAAAAGGGAAACCATCTCTGGAGGAAGATATCCTCTTCAGCCTCTATATAGTTAAATTATATACAATGTTCAGCATATAATTAAAAATTTGAACTTTTATTAATATAATCATGCTTTCTTTTCATCAATATTTTCATGGTATATTTTTCCCTTGCTTCACAATATACATGAAGAGACAGGAAAATATGATCTGTAATCAAGACAAAAACAGAAAACAGAAGCAGAACCAGAGATGATGCAAACAGTAAAGTAAGCAAAAACTTTAAAATAGCAACTATTAATATGTTCATGAAAAGAGGGGAAAAAGTAAATAAAATTTATGAAAGGATGGAGATAGTCAACAAAAATGAGAAAGTATTAAAGAGGAATCAAACAAGGCCAGCCCCAGTGGCCTAGTGGTTAACTTCAGCACTCTCTGCTTCGGCAGCCTGGGTCCAGTTCCGGGGTGTAGACTTACACCACTCATCAGTGGCCATGCTGTGGCGGTGGCTCACATAAACAAAAGAGGAAGATCAGCAACAGATGTTAGCTCAGGACAAATCTTCCTCAGCAAAAAAAAAAAAGATTCAGACTTCCTAGAACTGGAAAAATAAGATATTTGAAATTAAATTCACTGGGTGGATTTAATATTCGGCTGGACACAGCAAAAGAGAGAAGGAGTAAGCTTTACAAACAAGTCAATAAAAAATACCCAACTTCAGGGGGCCGGCCCTGCGGCACAGTGGTTAAAGTCCCATACACTCTGCTTCAGGAGTAAACTTAAAAAACAAGTCAATAGAAAATACCAACTTCAGGGGGCCGGCTCTGTGGCACAGTGGTTAAAGTCCCACACACTCTGCTTCAGCAGCCCAGGTTCGGATCCCAGGTGTGGACCTACACCAGTGTCAAGTCATGCTGTGGCAGCAATCCATATACACAATAGAGGAAGACTGACACAAATGTTAGCTCAGGGCTAATCTTCCTCAAGCAAAAAAAGGAGGAAGATTGGCAACAGATGTTAGTTCAGAGCAAATCTTCCTCACCAAAAGAAAAAAAGAAAGAAAATACCCAACTGACCCACAGACAGAAAAGAATAGAGAGAATATGCACAAGAGACATATGGGATACAGTCAAAACATCTAAGAAGGCTGAGGAAAGAGATTAGGGTAGAAGCAATATTTAAAGACATAAAAAACAAATTTTTTCAAAAACTGGTGAAAAATATCAACCCAGGAAACCCCAAACAGGATAAATGCAAAAAGAATCATGCTTAGAAACCACACAAACTGTCACAAACTAAAAACAAAAAGAAAATCTTAAAAGCAGCCAAGAAATAGATATTACCTTTAAAGGAGCAACAATAAGACAAATGGTTGACTTTGCAACAAAAATTATGGCAGCCAGAAAAGAAAGGAATGACATATTTGTAATGTTAAAAGAATAAAAGATGCCCACCTAGAATTCTGTACGAGGAAAATTTCCTTCAAAAAACAAACGTCAAAATAAAGACATTTACGGACAAACAAAAGCTAAGAAAATCTGCCTCTAGCAGATCAGTACTATAAGAAATATTAAAGGAATTTCCTTAGGCCAAAGGAAAATTGTCTTAGATGGTAGCAAAGAACTGCAAGAATGAATGAAGAGCACTAGAAAGGGTATATACATGAATAAATAGAATATTGATTGTTTACCAAAAAAAACAATAATGTCTATGAGGTTTATAACACATGTTGAAGTAAAATATATGAAAAGTAGCACAAAGGGCAGAAGGGAGTAAATGAAGTTAAACTGTCTTAGGTTTTCCATTGTTTGGGAAGTGGTAAAAGTATTAATTTAAGATACATTAAAAATCAAAGATGTTTATTAAAATCTCTAGGATTACTAAAAATAATTTAATTATAGAAGAATGTATAACTGAAAAGCTAATTAGTATAAATGAAATTTAGAAGACTTGACAAATCAAAACATAGGCAGGAAAGGAGGAATAAAAAAAACAAAGAACAGATGGTATAGACAGAAAAGAACTAGTGAGATGACAGATTTCTATCCAACCATATCAGTAGTTGCATTAAATGTAAACAGAATAAACATTCCAATTAAAACACAAAGATTGCCAAACTGGATCAAACAAACATGACCCAATAATATGCTATTTCCAAAAGGATCTACCTTAAATATAAGAAAATAGATAGGTTGAAATATAAGGAAGGAAAAAGAAAAAACTACAGAAATACTGATGAAAAGAAAGAGTGATTGTATTAATAGAAGTTCAAAGACTTCAAGGCAAAAAATACTATTAAAGATAAAGAAGAACATTTCGTAATGACATAATGGTTCAACCACAAATTATAACAATCCTAAATTTGTATACACCTAACAAGAGCACCAGAATACATAACAGAAAAGTGGAAAGAACTGAAAAGGAAAAGAGCCAAATCTATAGTCATAGTTGGTGATTTTAAGATTCCTCTGTTATAAACTGATAAAAACAGAAAAAAAAAAAAAAACCCAATCGTTAAAAGATTTGAACATGATTAACCAATTTAATCTTGACACATAACACTAACATCAACAAACTGCAGAATAAACACTCTTTTCTAGTACAAATGAATGTACCAATTGAACACAAACTCCTTCAGAGAATAAAAAGAGACAGAGACTTCCCAATAGTTCTTATGAGGCCAGCAAAACTTGATAACAAAAACTGACAAAGATTTTACAAGAAAGGAAAATTACAGGCTAATCTCTCTCATGAATAGATGCAAAAACCCTAAACAAAATATTAACAAATTGAATCCAGTGATACAATACATCATGACAAAGTGAGATTTATCCTAGGAGTACAAGGTTAGTTTAACATTGAAATCAATCAGTGTAATTCATCATATTACAGAATTAAGGACACAAACAATATGATTTATCTCAATAAAAGCAGAAAAACCATTTGATAAATGTAACAGCCATTAATGATTTACAAAATTCTCAGAAAACTAGGAATAGATGGGAAATTCTTTAATCTGTAAAGAGTACTTACAAAAACCTACAGCTAACACAATAATTAATGGTGAAATATTGAACATTTTCCCCCTAAATTCAGGAATAAGACTATTTCTATTAAACATTGTTCTGAAAGTCTATGCTATTGCAATGAAGAAAAACAAAAAAACAAGTATAAAGACTGAAAAGGAATAAGTAATATTATCATTAAGCTCAGACGATGTGGTTGTAGACATGGGAAACACAAAAGAATCTACAAACTATTAAATATTAAAAATAAGCTAATTTAGGGGCCAGCCCAGTGGCGCAGTGGTTAAGTTCACACGCTCCACTTCTGGCAGCCCAGGGTTCACAGGTTCAGATCCCCCCCCACAGACCTATGCACCACTTACC